AACTGGATAGATACAAATTTGTTCTTCAAAAAGTTATGGATAGACATGCGAGGAACTTTCAATTTCATTGCAGATAATCAAAACTGTGCATGAAAAACACTCAAATGTTAAAAACAACAAGAAAAATAATGTATTTTACCTATTTTACTTGTATGCAGGCCATTACTGCATTGTTACGAATTTCAGTGTTGTAAAACTAATTACTTATTTGTTTTTCTAAGTATATAGTCTTTTAATTTGCCAATAATGATAGTTTTGTCTTCCCTCTGTCCATTATCCCATATTTTCCTGTTTCAGGCCTTACTGAATTAGCCAAAACAATCTTGCTTACTCTGGTTGTAATGACAATGGCTCCGATGTTATAGCATCATATTCCCATTCTCTCACATCTGAAATGTATCTATCTTTAACAGTACCTTCATGCTCAAAGTTTTAAATACAATACTATAAGGCAAACTAGTTTTGGGTTAAAGTATTTATGGAGAGTAGTTTATTTTTAAATACGATCTTTATGAATGCCTTTATATCTAAGGCCCCAAACTGGTTACCTGAAGTAGACAGTTCAAAATCCTGTTATATTAGTGAATCACTAGAGTATATATTCTTCTAAATGTAGAGTAATTGCTGATATGCTGCACATAAGTAAAACAGTTCTTACTCATTTCAAGTTATAAGAAGTTAGAATGAAAACTAAAAATTGTCTGCATATCCAGAAGTCCCATATAAATTACACTTCCTTAACAGTCAAACATGGTATTAGCCCCACCACTCTGGATAAATGCCTACCTCTTTCTAGATGGTCACTCATAAAATCATACATTTTTGGACTAAAAACATTAAACAGCTCAAGCACACAAGAAATTGGTGCCTAAGTCCCTTCTATAGCACATCTGAACTGTATTTTTCCAGCCTATGGTGACATTCCTAGAGCAACAGATAGCTCTTCATCTCCCAAGATGTGTGTTTTCATTTCTGGAAAGATTTGATCATTAGAAAACTCATACTGAACCAAGAAATCTCTGTCTCTTTTACCACTGGCCCTTCATGGGCAAATATTCTATAATTTGATCAACAGGAAATATTTGAAAATGGCAATAGGCATATTCATATTCTTATTTCCTGAGCAAAAATTTCTCTCAATTTCCTATATTGGTCCAGTCATTCCCAATTTGCTTATATAGATTGTTGGCTTTGAACCACTAGAAAACATTAACCTTTGCTACTTACCACCTCCTGGCTGCTAACATTACCATATTGGCTCTTCCAGTTCCTATCCTAATTATGTATTTTACTTCTATCTAACTAGCTTAGAAAACTAAACCTCTGCGTCACCTTAACATGTCATTTATGAAAAGAGAGAAGATAAATAATTTGATAAGATTAGATTTTCAAATAGCTGGTCATAACTGAGTACCTAATCTCTCCTTGGCCAAGTCAAAAATTAACTTCTATGTTGTTTAATACAATTTGTTTGCCTAGACTAAAATCAAGAGACCTGAGTTTTGTTCTGCCTTGGTGAGTCTTATTTTCTTATTTGTAAAAAGAGGGTATTGATGGTCTCTAAACTCTCTATTTTTTAACCTCTGTAGGAATGCTAGTGTCCATTGTTGTAGAACAAGAAAACTATCTAACTTATGTCAAAATACGTCAGAAAAATTATTGACAAAAAATATGTTATGAGAGAGTTCAAACCACCTGTCCTTCATATGTGAATTGTTTCAGTGAATTAAAAACTCTCTGCAATATAAACATATGAGGGGCACCCCCCAAACAGAATTTATTTATAAAAGTGTATTTATTCTTACAGGTTTATACTTCAGTTATCTTCAAAGTACTCTCTTCATGTAATGCAATACACTTATCCAGACATTTTTTCACTGCTCAAAACAATTTTTGAACTCATCAATTTTGATGTCTTTTAGTGCTTCTGCCAGTTTTGTCTCACCTCTTCCACAACCCCAAAGTGGTGGTGTTGCTGTGTTTCATTAAAGCACACATCACATAACTTCATACTTCCCAGTTTGACCTCTATAAAATCTATATGATCTGTGTTTCTGTTTGTGATTTGTTTTTCTCCTGATTTTCTCTTTTTGGGTCAGGGGAAGTTGTCACGTTTATTTCATACATCTTCCTTTACAATCTATGAATAACAGTACTGTTTATTAATTATATTTTATTGATGTGGTAAATTACTTAAAGATGACATCAAAAAGTTGGCCATTGATTTCCTTTCTTTTGAACTGCTCAGAGTCCTAATTATTACTTGGCTTCTAACCTGAATTTCCAAATACCTCTTCAAATACCTTACCTTCTCTCTTAACTGTGAAACCTCTCTTCACGTATGCATAGACCTCTAAGAAGAGAATAAGAAGACAGAAAAGGTGCATATGCACCTCTGCTTGGGTTTTTGAAAAGGAAATTAAATGGGCCACCAAAGAACATGAGCATTAAGTGATATAACAGCAGCAATTTCACATAGGATTATCTGCTTTTTGTATGTTTTTCCATTGTGTTGGGGAGAAGTGGTAGTAGCACCATTATGAATACAGAGAGAATATTTGCATCAAAGATATGCAGGATATTATCTGCAGGCTGTCTGGGCAAACAAGAAGAGAACATCCAGCAGGTAAAACCAGAGAGGATTATAAGCTATGATTGAAGTAGAACCTTGTAAGATGCATTATGGAAGCAGAGCCGAAGGTACCAGACAGAGCCAATGATCATATTTGCCAGGGATTGGAGTTCAATGGCTGATCTTGAAGGAAGCTTAAGATAATGCAAATGTTTCAGACACAAAGTAGAACTTTAAGACCAGTTCTCTAAGGCAAGAATAGGCAGTTTCTCACATTGTTCTATGCAAGGTGCTTACATTTGGGCAATGACAGGTTATCAGATGAGCATGTCCCAGTTTATGCGCACTCAAATTGAGTGGGATGTCTTCTCCCCCCCCAATACACTGCTTTTTTTGTGCCAGGGATATCTAGACCTAGGAATTGTAAATGACTGCTTTTGATTTCATGTAGCATACTTCAACAGTAAAAGTTAAGTATCTATAGCTTGAATTAATCTCGGAGTTCTTATATTTCTGATCAATTTCTTATGAAGGGAGCCCTTAATGGGCAACCATGTCCTGCGCAAGGCACAGCCTGTTTTTAATATAATGTTAGGGCTCAGTCAGAGAAACTCCAAGTATCATTTCCTTTGTTTCGATAAGGTCTCCATATTAGCTCCAATGTTCACTTTTATGTGAGGAATCACTGTGTAGGCCAAATGTTCCTTTTTCTAGCTTATGTGTATCTGGATAAATTTACCTTAGAAATTCAATTAATTGTTAAAAGGCCAATTAACTTGGCCATGATAGAGATTGTTTATAATAACTTTTCCTTGTAGGGCTTCTCTTCTTGTCCAAGTACAAGTGACATTATCAAATGGTAGTATTATTGTCTGTTGGTTCCCTGAAACTCATATGCAAAACACACTGGAAGTGATTATCTTGGTTAAATAAATTAATAGGATATTATGGGCAATTTATCTCCTTTATAATCCTCAGGACTTAAAATACCAGTAAGCAATAATAAAATATTTAAGCTCAAACATTATCTATAAGATCATTCATGACAATATCCTTTATTATTTGTTCTTGTTTTTTATTTTCTTGGTGAAAGATGATAATAGAGTAAAATGATTTTAAGGGTAGTACTGATTACATTATATCACAGTGTATTTTGTGAGAAATGAACAAATAATGACATAAAAAAGTAGCTGTCCCATTCCATTAGCATGTTCTTGGTTATCTTTGTTTTATATGGGCCAACAATTCACTCATTCTTGTGGGGCTAAGACTCTTAAGAGACTCAAGAATTACCACCTGTCACTATGTAACATCCACTTGTTACTAGGTGCTAATACTAGGCAGTGATTGTTTCAAAAGAAAATAATAAAGAAAGAGTAGGAGGGAGGGAAGAAGGGAGGGAGATAAAAATAATATGTATGACTACATTTTATATATTAATGTATTAACTTCAGCCTCTAGATGACTAGAAATTTAAAAATAAAGCAAACACAACTCAAGAGTTTGATATGAGACTAAGTCTGGGGATGAAATTTTTTGTTGTTCTTTCTTACAAAAAGGAGTAGCCTGCACCTCATAGAAGCAGTAACAATGTGCTCACCACTCTATAAATGTTATTTGTACAATTCTTACTACCACTCTATGAGAAATGATTCATTGTTCCCATTTTACTGATAAGAAGACTGAAGCCTAGGTTTCAGCCAAGGTCACACAGTTCATTTGTGGCAGAGTCTGACACTACATCACTCTGCCTTTCCAGACCTTCCATTTTCCCCTAAGATAAATGCACTGGTTCTAGGAGTAGTGATGCCATGAAAAGCTTAAAAAAGGGGAGCTGAAGAGTATGCTGAATTCTAACAGGGTAGTTTTGTAACTCAATCAAAGGAAGGGAATGGTTTAAGCAAGTGCAACTCAAAGAGCAGAACTATAAGAGGATTAATTAATTATGTCATTAAGCATATTTTCCTCATAGCAATACTTTTTCAATGATGAGGTCTGTGCATTTATTTACATTCCAGTGCATGGTTATTTTCTCATAGACCAGAAACAGTTTGCAAACTAGCAACCAGTCCACAGACCATACTTAACACGGGACAAGCTTCAGAAATGTCTTACGAAATTTTCCTTTTCTGTGAAGAGTTAAATCATTTTGGATAAAAGTTAACCAAATATAGTCTATATGTTTTTCCATTTATAAAAAAGAAAGTTACATCTTATCCACATTACATATAGTAATGAAGGTTGATGTCCTAAACCCTATAAATCTATGGGGGAATTAATCTTAGTTGAAGTGGTTTTGCCCTTACTAGTTTAAATAAGTTAATCTCTTCCAAAAGTAGCTTTCTGGGAAAAAAAAAAAAACAATATTTCCATCAAATAACATGGTGTTTGGAGTGAAGTACAAATTTTAAAATGTGTTAATTCATACCTGCACCTCCGCCAACGCTTAGAATCTTAATTTCTGACTTTTTATCTCCAATCCTGAAAAAAAAGATTGTGTTGTTTATGAAAATGTGCTAGGTGCTTTGGGAAATCTGATTACTAAGTCTAGGTGAAAAGAACAGCCTAAAATTACAGTGAACAAAAAGTAGGCCAACATGAAAGATTCCAATTATTTCAGTAGTTATATTGCTGTCTTTAGAAATCTTTAGAAATACAGGTTCCACTCATTAACAATCTTGAACTGGTAGACTTTGAGAAACAATATAAACATCTCAGAGGTAAACCATTTGTTGAGAATTCATTTGGAGAACAAGAACAGAAAAAGCTGGTCCTTGAGTCTTGTAAAATAATTAGCCATTCATTCATTGTACACGGGGAAAGGCTGAGGTGATACTGTCTCTGTAGTAGCTGCCTTCTTACTAACTCCTTTTCAACAGACGAGTGTTTATCAAACATTTAGTATATGCATAATATTCTAAGCATTGAGAATACAAAAATGAATAATACACTACTTTGCTCTCAAGTGAAATGTGAGATAATAAAGCTCTAGTACTAGAAATTGAGTGAAATTGATGGCCTAGAAAACAACACTACAACTTGCTTTAGGTTGATGTAAAGAGGTCAGAAAAAAGTATGAGTGTGCAATGCCAAGTGTCCAGCCAGGATGACTTGGTGAAGCATGACGCCAAAGAGGAAGCTGGAGAATATAGCTTGATGGCAACTTTATGTTTTGTCAGTATTTTTCTTTTTGTTTTTTGTTTTCATTTTGTTTTGATAAATCTGAATTCAACAGGCATTTGGATATGCAAGAGTTAATCTGGGTGAGAGAGATATCAAGATAAATGATGTATTCTGGAGAAGTATTGTTATAAAGTAACAGTAAAAAAAAAAAAAAAAGGAGAGTAGATTCCATCAACTAAGGATATTGCAAAGAGAAGAGCAGTGGGATGATTATATAATACCAACTTTTAAAAGTCACTGAGCTATGGGACATACGCAAAGAAGACAGAGGAAAACAGGAAAGTTCAGAGATATGAAAGGAATAGTAAACAAGGAGAAAGTCATCAGTAGTGACAAAGGTGGCAGAGTATACTACTAAAAATTTAAAAAGAAAAAAATATACACTGAATTTTGCAATATAAATATCTTTGACAATAGTTTTTAAAGTGGATTGAGTGCAGAGGTTAAAGGGCAGTGGGATTGAAAGTAAAGTTGGTAAAGAGAAAAAAAGATCTAGAGAAATTGTTGAAATAGGATGAGTGAGAAGAAAAGGGGTGACTGCTAAAGGGGAAAACATGAAGTGGAGATATGTTTGCTTGTTGGGTTATAGGACGGTGAACAAGTGTGGTTCTGGGCTAATAAAAGGCCTATGCAGAGTAATAGGACGAAGACAGAGTTTAAAGCAAGGTTCTTAAGGGAATTGGAAAGTATAGAGTCAAAGACACCTACCAGTGAGTTGCCTGCCTTAGTTCTAATTAACTTACAACTCATAATCATGAGTCTTAATATACCCACTCCTACTATGTTTTTAGTTAGTTTTTAAAAATGCTCATATGCGTGGATATAGTGAGGTTTATGGATCAGAATGTCCAGGTTGAAATCCCAGCTTACTGATTTGTTACCTTGAGCAAGTTATTCAATTTCTCTGCACCTTTACTACCTATGAAATAAAATAATACCACCTACTTTATAGGATTGCAATAATGGTATATAACTCATGGAGGAGTTATGAGGATTAAATTATTTAATTCATGTAAATATCTTAAGTTGGTATTGGTGTCTACTCATGATAAGCACACAACATGTATTAGGACTTATTATTATTCTAGGCACAACTAAGTGATTTAAATGAATTAACTCTTTGAATCCTCACAACTCCTCTGCGAGTTAGATACTATTATCCTATTTCATATATTATAATGACAACTAATAATTATCAAAAACTTATTGTTTAGAATCTAAATGCATTACATACAACAACAACATTTTACTATATACAACCATAATTTGTCACTCTCTCCACCCCATTCTTCATCTTAAGATGAAGAATGAATAAATGTACGTATATTGACAACTGAGAATCTCCCAGTAAACAGCCGAGTTTACATCAAATTGCTACAGTGAACCACCCACTCAACAAACTCTTCCCTTATATATATAAGGAAAATCTGAATCATTTTTGAGTGCCTCTTTATTTGATTAGATGAGCAATCAAGCCTTATTAGGTAGTTTGGCAGTACCCCTAATATGGAAGACAGAGGTCAAAACCAAAACTCAGGAGAAACATGCAGAAAGCAGTGGAAAATTTTATAAGAAATAAAATGAGGCATTACATGTGTGAAATATGAACAGAATGCTATAAAAATAACACTTTGGGGAGTTAAAAATATAATAGCAAACATTTAATAGAAAGGCTGAAAAAAATTGTGGAAAACTGAAAATATCCGAAAATTAGAGAATCAATTTAGAAGGTCTAGTGTTTGCTGGATACAAGTTCCAGAAAGAGAAAAAGAGAGGGGAAGAATAATTTTAAAATGTCAAAGTTTTATTGAAGAATCTGAATTTCAATTGAAATGGCCCAGGCAGTATCAACACAAATGGGTGAAAAAGGCCCACACTGCAATTCATTATCCTAAAATTCTATGATACTAAATATAAAATCCTAAAAGCTTCTAAGTAGGGAAAACAAAAACAAAACAAAAAACAACAAAACAGTGATAAATCAAAGATGAGAAATTTTAATAGTATTGGATTTCCCAATGGTAAATCTCATAGGTAAAAGACAATGGAAAAATACATTTAAATGTACAATATAAAATCATGTCAGCATAGAATCTTAGGCCCAGTCAAACTGTCCAAAGGTAAGCATAGTGAAGGCAGTTTTAAACATACAAAGTCTCAAAAAGTTTACCTCCCATATACTCTTTCTTGGGAAGCTGTTAAAGTATTAGCTGAAAGAAAAAAGGAGGAGAAGAAAAAAGAAGAAATAAAATTAAGGAAACCAAGAAAAGAAGGGCATGAGATCCAGAATCAGGGAATCCAATACCAGAGAGAAGAGAATTTATACAAGGTAAAATAAATTCCCTTATCAATAATTATATAGCAGGCCAAGAGCAAATCACCACGGTCTGGAGGAAAAAAAGAACAGAGAACTCCAGTTAAGATGTTCCCATGGAGAAAAAGTAACAGATTACTTGATTAACTGGAATATATTGAGAGAAGGTTAATACTTCTGCTTGGGGTATAAGTAATAATAAGTTTATAGAAAACTAAGGAAGTCTAAGGTTCATGGAAAACTAAAATCAAGACCATAGTTAACTCTAGGAAAAACAGAAAGCCAGACATGAAAGGAAGTGTAATTTTACTATAATGCATTTTCAAACCTCAATAATATGTATATAGGCAAAATGATATAAATTTTCAAATTATTTAACCAAAAATTTGACATAAATATATTGATATGATAAAGGAGAAAATGTACCTGTTTTTTTAGCTATTTTAACACAGAATACTGAAGAAAGACAAGAATAACATGTTATTCAGAATTAGGAAAGAAAATTCCATAAGAAACAAGTAAAAGATTTCAGAGTGTTGAAAGTGGTTGCCTTTGGAGACTGGGAGTCAGGGCTGGAAGTGGGAAGGGCCAGAAACCAGTATTTTTTTTTTTTAAGAATGAAAAATAAAACAGTCATGTTGAGTACTTATATAACTTAGAAACAACTTTAAGCAGCAATTTTAAAGGTCCTTCGGCTATATTTCATTCCAAACATCACCTTCAGGAAAAAAAAAAATTACTTTTTAAGTAAATGAGACTTTGATTTAGATTATTTCTAATTTTGTTACCAACATAATGCAAACTTCTTGATGTCTTTGAAATTTTTTCAGTTTTTTATAAGTCCCACATTCAATATTTCCAATTGGATTGGAATATACCTTGAAAAGAAGGGTTACCATTTATTATGTTATGTTCGTTCATGATGCCTCATCAAACCAAACTGATGGCTAAAGAAAACCAAGTATCCAGATAAGCTTGGTTTTAGCTCCACAGAAGAAGTCAGAAATAAGTTTGTCACTTTTAATTTTAGAAATGAACAAAAAAAAAAAAAAAACCCAAAGAAGTAAACTATAATTAGTTACCATTTAATAAGTATTTCTGTATTTGCTATCTGCTTTGATTTTTGCATCAATATTCTACTTTAAGTTATCAATAAATTATATAATACTCTACTTTTAAAAGCCACATTTAAATTTTACGTCGATTGTAACTGAAAAATTTTAACATATTTTAAAAACATATAAAAACTAAACCATAAACAAAAGGGGAAACACAATTCCATATATAGCCAGCGATGTTTGCTCTGATGAGGCAGAGGTGCCATATGCTAGTGTAAGAATTTCAGGCCTATAATAGGGAAAGCGAGCAGAAGATAAAATTTCAGTTTCCTTTGCTGCTGCTGATTGGATCTACAGTCAGTCATTTCTTCCCAGTTTTCCATCATTATTTCCTGAAGCAGAGTAAGTTACAGCAATCCACCCCTAGATAGGTGATTTGATTATCTTCAGCATGTGGAATCTGTTACTCTTATAATGCTTATCAGCCTTGGCACAAATTGAACACATTAATCATGAAAAAAAGCAGTCTGCAAGAAGGATAGAAACTAGTGAGTTTCACTGATAATAAAAAAATGCTTTTTCTTTTGTGCCACATTGCTAATATTAAGTTGAAAGGAAAAGACAAAATTTTTTTGGAGCATAACAGCTATAACAATGAATAAGAAAAAATGAATTTAAATGGATATTAGGAGAACCGAGAAGCTGCCATTCAATCTTCAGGAGCAAATAGTATTTGGTAATTTTTTATATTTGATTCTAATGAAAAGAATGTTAGACTCCATTTGGGACGATTTTGAATGAGAAATTTAGAGGAGGGCTGAAAAACCTGAGCTCAAAGATTTACATCTTATCTTTTCCCAAATGAACATAGATTTGTGCCTTTAAATGGTTCTTGCTTATTTCCATGCAGCTGGAAACGCTGCACAAATAGAATCCTTTGAATGTTTAAATCAAGTGTTTAACTAAAGCGCCCCAGAAAAAAAGGGCACAGTGGGGCAAGGAGGGAGGGGAGCTGCTATCAGTAGCAGATTCTTATCCCCTTACCCAGCCTGCAGGGCTGGGCTCCTATCTATCACTGAAAAGAAATCACGGAGCTTGCCCCTTTGACAGAAACGTCCTTTTTTTGTTACCTTGCTAATATGCCTGGCAGCTTCTTGTCCAGGAATTCCTGCATGCACTGATGTTCCGTGGAATTGTTGAGAAACCTCCGAAAAGATTCAACATATCGGCTGTGATCAGAAAACAAGCTCCTCATGGAAGATGCCATATTTGATTTTCTGAGGAAGACAGGAAGGGAAAGTTTAACTTCCTCTCTCCCTTTTTCCCAGTTCCTTTTTTCTCTCCCTACCCCCACCAATTTGTTTTCAAAAACGGAAAAAAAAAAAAAAACAAAAAAACCTTGCTTTCAATTTAAGAGGCAATGGAAAGGCTGGTGTTCAAAGCTCACTGCCACGTCAGTGGGGCTTTTGCACTGATACTTTAACCCCTACACAGTTGTTTTATAAGAACTGGAGGTAGTAAGCCAGGCAGGAAATCCAATGCTAAAACTGATTTTACTCCCAAAGGTCAGAGAGTTGTAAAAACAAACTACAGTCCGATCATTTCCTGTTTTGTCAGCAGCTGCCTGCTAATAAATTTCAAGTGGTAAAGTGGCTGCTTTCAGGGCCAAAGGTGACAAACACAGGAATAAACAGGCCAGCTACAAAACTGCAAAAATCTTTCTGAAATTTACAGCAGTTGAAATTTTTTTTTTAGTTTTTTTTCTTTTAAGATCTTCTTTATTTTTAAACAGAGGGGAAGGGAGGGACAAAGAGAGGGAGAGAAACATCAATGTGTGGTTGCCTCTTGTGCAACCCCCACTGGGGATCTAGCCAACAACCTTGGCATGTGCCCTGACTGGGAATTGAACTGGCAACCCTTTGGTTCTCAGGCCAGTGCTCTATCCACTGAGCCACACCAGCCAGGGCAGCTGTTGAAATTTTTGATATGGGACTACTGTCATCACTTTCTTGCTGTCTGTGGAGAGTTTCATGCCTTCATGTTCCTCAACGGTTAACTTTAAACTCGTCTGCTACATTTCTTAACATGCTGATTAATTTGTTGTGATTTTGGAAGTCTCTTCAGAATAAACCATCAGAGAAGAACCAGAGAATTATTAGCTAGAAAGTCTCAGAAGCCTAGGGGGGAGAAATGAGGGAACTGGCAGAGGAGTCTTAGGACAAGCATGCAGGGAACCAGGCTAAAAGCTGAGTCCATTGCACAGCTTTCCTAAATGCTTCTGAAGGTGGGATCATAGATTCTTAGGGTTGGGTGAGCATTTGGAGATCCAGTAGTGTTACCTATCAAAAGACTCAGTGTTAGAGTACTCAAATGTTGAGCATTTTACCTGGGAAGTGGTCTTAAAGGAAGCTACCCTTTATCCAATGAAGGATTATTAATAATAGTATACAACTCATGGAGCACTTGTGAGAATTAGATGAGTTTATTTATGTACATCTCTTTGAAATATGTATGCCTAAACCATTACCTTTTCTGATTCAGTTCCAAAACCGCCCTCTAAGCATTCAGCAAGCACTCCAATACTCTTTTATAAGCATTTTATGGTCCCATTCCTTTCAGAGCCATAGGTTTTATCCTAGGGGGAAAATGGGAAGCCTGGAAAACAAATCGATGGCTATAGTTCCTGACTTGGGCACTAATGAACTATGTGACCTTGGCTAAAACATAAGCTTCAGTTTTCTCATCAGTTAAATGGGAGCCATGAATTACATCTCATAGAGTTGTTGTGAGAATTACAGAGATAATTTTTATAAAATACTTAGTACATAATTACTCCTCCTGTAAGGTACAGGATGATGCCTTCTGCAATAATGAAACAACAAAAAGTTGTTTAGTTTATAGACACCAAAACTTGATTTTCATATCATTCTCACATGTTTTGAAATATTACCCTTCTTTGGATTTTTTTCAATCATTTAAAAATATAAAAGTTATTTTTAGCTCATGGGCTGCTTGTACAGAAACCATTGCTGGGCTGGATTTGGCCCATGGACCTTAATTGGCCAACTCATAATCTAGCTCCTATGCCTCCATATATTTGCTGCTTAAATATACTCCCAGCTCCATCCAACCAGCCTCACCTTCCTCAAACTGACTCTTTAAGCTTTTGTTTTTTCTATTACTATCGTCCACATTTCTTTTTAGAACTCAGTTCAAATCATTTATTCACGTATTCATCAACTGAACAAATGTTTAGTAGGGGTCTAATGTATGTTATTCTGCTGAGAATATTCTTGATTTTATCTTCACATTTCCTACCTTTAACTAAAACCTAATCTTCTCCTAAGTTCATCACTTTCATCACGTGTCAAATCTTCACTAAACGTCTGCTTTTTATATAGGTTCATTAAGGATTTTCTCTCCATTCTCATTGCATCCAGCTTACTTAAGATTCTCTCTTTTTTTCATTTGCTGTGCATTTTTTCTTTTTTTTTAAAGAAAACTGTAGGGTTTAGCACACCATTTTGTTTTTAAATATTTTTAAAGTTTAAAAGTGTTTATTTTTTACAATTAACTCTAGTAGAGCTTTAATCTATTATGATCATTCCCCATGCTTGTTCTATTTTTTCATTTTTTTAAAAAAGGTAACCAATTAATCTCAACTTTTTTGAATTTTTTATCATTTACTTTTTTTAATTTTATTTTAATTTATTTTTTCAAATACATTTGTCTCTGCCTACCCCCCAGCACTTTCCCTTGCCCCCTCCCTCCTTCCCTCCCTCAGCTCTTCCCCTTTGGTTTTGTCCATGAGTCCTTGCTATATGTTCCTTGACTTTCCCCTTCCCTTCCTTTTCCCTGCCCCACCCCCTTTCCCTCTTGTCTCTGTTGATTTCTTTTCATTTCAGTGTTGCTGGTCTTATTTTCCTTGCATCTTTGTATTGTTGGTTAGGTTCCGCTTATAGGTGAGATCATATGGTATTTGTCTTTTGCCCCCTGGCTTATTTCGCTTAGCATAATGCTTAGCTTTTTCTTTTTCTTTAAGGTGTGTTCCCTCTATGTCACTTTCCTGAGAGTTTTTATCATAAATAGGTCCTGGATTTTTATCACATGCTTTTCCTGTATCTATTGATATGATCATGGGATTTTTATCCTTCATTTTTTTATGTTTTGTATCACATTTATTGATTTGTGACTGTTGTACCCAGCTTGTAGCCCCAGAACAAATCTCACTTGTTCATGGTGTATGATCTGTTCACTGTATTGATAAATCTGGTTTGCTAATATTTTGTTGAGGATTTTAGCATCAATATTCATCAAGGATATTATAATATGATTTTGTTTTTTGTAGTGTCTTTATCTGGTTTTGGAATTTGGATAATGCTGGCCTTGTAAAATTGCCTTGAGAGTCTTCTCTTCTCTTGAATTTTTGAATAGTTTAAGAAGGAGAGGTATTAGTTCTTTGAATGTTTAGCAAAATTCATCTGTGAAGCCCATCCAGGTTAGGGCTTTTGTTTGTAGAGAGCCTATTCACATTTTCGAATTCTTCCTGATTCAGTTTTGGAAAATTGTATGATTCTAGGAATTTAGCCATTTCACCCAGATTTTCCAATTTATTGACATATAGTTGTTTGTAATATTTTCTTTAAATCCTTTATATTTCTTTGATGTCAGTTGTTACTTCTCTTTCATTTTGATTTTATTTATTTAGGTCCTCTCTCCTTTTTCTTCATGATTCTGGATAATAGTGTATTAATCTTGTTTATATTTTCAAAAAACAAGCTCTTGGTTTCATTAATCTTTTGTATTATTTGACTCTATTTTGTTATTTCTGCTCTGATATTTAATATTTCCTTTGTTCTACTCACTGTGTGTTTGTTGCTCTCTTTCTAGTACCTTTAAGTGTTGAATGCTTAATTGAGATTTTTCTTATCTTTTAGGTAAGCTTGTAATGCTATGAATTTCCCTCTTGGGACAGCACTCACTGTGTTCTATAGATTTTGGGTTGTTATGTTCTTATTTTCATTTTTTTTATGGTATACAGTGGTACTTCGCTACTTCCCATTAATTTTTTCTGGAACTCATGATGAATGCTGAAACCAACTGGTACCAAACAAAGAAGCATTTTCTCGTGCAGAGCGGTGTCCTGACTCATTAAAGTTCTAGCGAGTGTGATGAGTCCTGAGCAAGCACCATGTGTTAAAACTTTTTTTCTCCAAACTGTAGCAAGTACAAGGTTTGATGAGTCTGAAGCCAACAAGTACCAAGGTATGACTGCATTTTGATTCTTCCTCCATCTCATTGTTTGGTAGCATGTTATTTAGTCTCTATGTCTTTTTGTGTTTTGTGGGGAGGGGTTTGTGATTGATATCTAGTTTCATACCATTATAATCAGAGAAGATGCTTTATATGGATTTAATCTTCTGAAACTTATTGAGATTTTTTCTGTGTTCTAACATGTGGTCTATCCTAGAAAATGTTCCATATGCACTTGAAAAAAATATATATTCTGCTGTTTGGGGGTGAAATGCTCTGATGATATCAATCAAATCCATCTGATCTATTGTATAATTTAAGACCACTATTTCCTTATTGATTTTCTGTCTGGAAGATCTACCCATTGATGTCAATAAGGTGTTAAAATCCCTAACTATGACTGTATTACTGTTGATATCTCACTTTATGTCCATCAAGATTTTCTATATATTTAGGTGCTCCTATGTTGGGTGCATAAATATTTACAAGGGTTATATCCGCTTGTGGGATTGCTCCCTTTATCATTTTGTGGTATTTTTCTCTGTCTGATACTATAGCCTTTTATTAAAATTTAGAAATGCTACCCCAGGTTTTTTTTTCATTTTCTTTTGCATAAAATTTTTTTCTATCTCTTTACTTTTAGTCTGTGTGTATCTCTCATTCTGAGGTAGGTCTCTTGTAGACAGCACATATATGAATCTTGTTTTCTTATCCATGCAGCTACCTAATGTCTATTGATTAGAGCATTTAAACCATTTATATTTAAAGGAATTATTGATAGATACATATTTACTGTTATTTTATTCTTTATAACTATGTTACTCTGTTCTTGTTCTCATTCTTGCTCTCTCCTGTTTAAAGAAGATCCTTTAATATTTCTTGTAATACTGGTTTGATGATAACGGATTCTTTTAGTTTAAGTTTTTCTTTTTATTTTTTGTCTGGGAAGCTCTTTATCTCTTTGATATTTCAAGCCAATCCCTTCTGGCCTGAAATATTTTTGTTGAGAAATCAGCTGGCAGTCTTATGGGAGCTCCACTGTAAGTAATTAACCATCTTTCTCTTGCTGCTTTT